TATGGCACCCCGCCACTAACAATCCTAATTCGTGCAATAGCCTCACGAGCAGCCTTTAGCAAATTCATCGGCAAACTGTCAACTACAAAGAAAAGAAAAAAAACATAGAATATAAGTCAAAAATAGGGAAAAACAAAATGACTTCCAACAAACACCCCAGCAATCGCCATACCTCCATAGCGACCACCTTCTTAGTCAGCCACCGCCCCAAGGGTTTCTTAAAAGCTTCAAACCAGTCAGCCACATCTTTTTCCTCCCATGACAAAGTGTCATAACCAAATGAGTAGTGACCGGGCGAAATCTAATAGTTCCTCCTAGACCAGTATAACTTAATTTGGCTCTCCCTGCTTTCAGGATCCACAAAGAAAAGACTTTCGCCATTACCTAGCACAGGTCTCACCCAGAAAAAGTTCTCCCGCCAATTCTTATAGGAGTCGGCATAAATGGTAAATATTTCCTCCATATTTCCCCCCAGCTTGAGTGAAACCCAACCTCATTTCTTTCTCGTCGGAGAAACTTGAAAGCAGTAGAAAAATAGCTTCACGCTGCAGATCCACCCGAAGTACTGACATATGATCTAAAACACCCGGATAAAGCCCCAAGCGTTAGGATGAAGCTAAGAAGGAGCAACGTGCAAATGACGTAGCACGTCCAACTCTGCGCTGCCAAACGGTCAGATTGACGATCGCCTTGCCATACGTGGTCAGAGAATCCGACCGTAGTAACCTGGGAGGAGGAAGAGAGATAAGGTCAGAAGCCAAACACTTAAATCAACAACGTGGAACTGGTGCACTACACCCAGGGACAGACCACACCTCCCTTACTCCCTCTCCAGGTTCTAACTCAGCCACTTGTGCACAAAACACCTCCACTACCCCGCCAAACTACGAAAAGATCTAGGGACTAGTGGAATGTACCTGTTGGGTTCGAACTTGTTGGTTGCTTAATATATTCTTTGAAAGGACGTTCCTATTCCGTTCATCGAGAGAAAACACATTCGTTCTCTTGACTTCAACTCAAGTGCGCAAGTGCACGCATCAAGTAATAAATGAGACTATTAATGCCCAGATTATCGTTCCCACGAGGATAGAACTCTAAATTATACCTTAACTTATTTTATAAAGAATTAAAAATAAAAAGAAAAGACAGTATTTGAACTGTTTGGTCGAACGTTCCCTACTATCTTGACAACGTTCCTCAAGGATAGTAGGTTCAGTCTGACTTCAAACAACTCCTCGCGTCGTTATATATGAAATCTTTCTTGATGAGAAAAGGAACGAAAATATTCATTGGAGATTTGGTGTTGTTGTCACAAGATGTAATAAAGAAAATAACAATAGCATAATAATAATTTCGAGACAACAATATGGGTGGATAAAAACAGTTTTTAACACAAGGAACAGATCCACTGTTCCATTCTTAAATAGCTATATTCTCAACCCAAGACTTAACCCTTCTGAATTTGTTCATGTCTTTTCACTGCCAACTCTGATTCCTCACCTCATGGACTTTAATGGCTCACAAGTTTTCAAATTCCTATAGCTCCCTTGACTCCAACAGTTACTAAGTTCAGAACCTTCAGTGAACGATGTGGTTCCTTATTTCTAAGGCAACCAGTAGTGTTGTTTTCAGTACACTACCTTCCTCCTCTGATTAAGCTGTCTGAAATCCCTTCCTTATGGAAGTCCCTCCTCTGATATGCAATGAATATAGCATACTTAATCACAAAAATACAAAAGCTTCAGTGTAAAAGTTTTGAAAATAGTTCTTTAAGAACTTTGCAGCTTTTCTGTTCCACAAATAACTTAGCCCATGGCTATAACAATAAACATAATTATTCCAAACTGAAGTCCCACAGACCCGAGATTCAGTTCACGAATGGAAGAAAAGAAAAATAACAACTTATATTAATAAGAAACAAGTTAGGTTACAACAAAATAAAATGGAGAAGTATGGTTGCTGCTCGTGAGGAGTCTCAAATGGTGATATAGAATAGAGGAAGAGTATTGTCACTTAACTACTGCTAAACTATACTACTGAAAAGTAAAAACTACAAATAAAACTAAGTGATCTCTTCTTAAGAAATTCGATCGTTTCTTTGTGCTGGAACGTCCTATTTATAGGCAGAAGAGTGGGTGGAAAAACTTGTAATTTTCATTGAGTTGTTTTCTTGACTGCATGAAAGAGGCGGTGTGAACAGTGCTCAGAGGGACACAAGTTGCTGGATGAGATACTTATTGTTGAGATTTTCCTTTTCTTCTACACTCTTTATGCCTTGCTTTCCTCTTAGCCAATGGAAACTCTTTATTCTTTGTTGTACACGTTTCTTCCTGCTTGATTGCTGTAGCTCTTATGCTTTGTGGAAGCTTCTTTTTAACGTTACCTGCAAAGTGTACATAGAGATTGAGTTAGTGGAGCAGGTGTATTTAATGTTCCCATTATGTTCCCCTTTTTCTATATTTCTCAAATGATTACATCATCATCCGTTCCCCATTGTGTTTTTGTCACAAAGATATAAACACGTGTTTTTAATGCTGAAGTTGCTCATCAGATGAGGGAACGGATGGTATTTTTCCATCCAAATGGGCTTAGATGAGAACGAATTTTCGTCCCATCAGTACCCCCCAGCTGCGCTTAGGGCGACTGAAGCATTTGTAGGTGAGTTTACTATTTGTAAAGGGTGAGGCTGATATGTTAACTCCAAAGGGTGGTATCGAGGATCCTGGTTTATAGTGGACAATGGACGAATGATGCACCCTTTACCAAAGATGGATCGCTGTGAAGTCTGGCGACCTAAACTGAGCTTAAAACCATGGGACGAACGCCCAGCGGTACCAGAATGCCTCCCGCCCCGGGTGGTTTTACGACCACCCCTATGACCACCAGGAGGACCAGACCCCCCAACTTCTCCAGAATATGAAACCACAGGACCCAAAGCCCTTTTCGGCATAAGTGCTCGAATTTCCTCCTCACTAAAATCTACAAGTTCAGGAACCCTACCATGGGGCAAAGACTCTACCCCTAGTATCAGAGAACGACTACTACCAACACCACCAGAATTACCTCTACCATGGCTAGCAAGAAACGCTCGTATCGCCTCCCCAACACCATAACCATCAAAGGTGTCAAATGCCTCATCAAATTCCTCCTCCTTAACAGCCACCTCCAACTCACATAAAGCCTTCTCCGTTAACTCACTCAACTTAACCATCTCAAAGACAGAAACCCAGAATCCAAAGAAAACCCGAAAATAAAAGAAGAAATTAGAAAAAACACTGTACCTCAGCAAAAAGGGGCAAAGACAATCACAGGTCTCTCAACAACACTGATTTTCACCCTTCAATCACGTAAATGATTAACGAAGGAACCCAAAGAAAGCACAAAGCTTTTCTTCAGTTTGTCTACGAACGAACATGTCTAGACCAGGTTGAAAGAGAGGAAGAATGGAAGGATTATAAAACATAGTTCAGAAGAAGGATAATGGGAAGAGAAATCCCCGTTAAATAGGGTTTCAGGAGCGACACCCTAAGTTCACCCACCGTTCGATTTGAGCAACTGACTAGATGAGGGGCCCAACCATAATCTTGCCAATACCGGACACCCCTTACTTCACATTTAATGCGGCACATTCAACAACGTTAGGCTGGCATCATTACGAATTCCCGAGAATCGATGAGTTGCTCCCATTCAATGGGCAACATGTGTCCTCGAAACATGAGATGCTGCCAAACACATCACTCAGACCTCAAGTCGCCAAATGCATCACTCAGACTTCACACCGCCAGACGCATTGCCTAGACTTCAGAACGCTAGATGTGACCCTTGTGACATGGGATTATACACAACTGTGAACTCAACAAAGTCCAACCGCCCAACAAGAAGTAGTTTGGCAAACACTAAGTATGCCACCACGCCCCTCCAGACAGATGTAGTCGCCCTAAAGAATAACACTTTCCCGCCAAGAACACAAGAGCCTAGTCCAACACATTCATCTCGGCACCAGAGCTTCATTCGCTACCGAGCTGGGGGGGCTCCTATTCTGGATGGCCCCCAACCAGTTGGCCCATTAAGGTAGACCCAAAGCCTTCCTCTCATCTACGTCAGCCCTGCTGACCAAGGGTTACCAACCCTACCTCATTTCTCTCCCCCCGGGAAAGTGTCCCCAAGGTAAGACACCAAAAATGTCTTACGTTGAGATACTACCTCCCTCGGTAGCCTCCCCAGACCCCCTAATATAGGTGCTTTGATAAACCTTTGGCTTACCATGTTTTTATGCTAAATTCTACAAGAATTATATTGTAGATTGCATGGAATTCAAGGTTTTATATGATAAAATCATAAAGATTTGAAAATTGAGCTAATTTTTTGATATCTTGCATATTTTGAAAGTAAATCCACAAGATTTGGTGCTAAGAAGTGATCAAAGAATCATAACAAAAGATTTAAAGCTCAATCTAAACCAAAAGAAACCAATGCAAGCCCAGTCAGCCCAATCTGCAGGATCTTAAATAAAAACAGAAATAAATCAAGATTTGATTGGGAATTGATAGAGATTCATGGGGAGATTTGATGAAGAATTAAAAGATATGACTTCAAAGGTTATAAATAGGGAGCTTGGGGTCAATGGAATTGACTCATTCACAGACACACCATGGGAAATACACAAAGACCCAAAGGAGGAATCCTGTTGCGGAGCGTTGGAACACCGGGGAGCCAAGTCAACATCACACCAATAGAGGCTTGGGGAACTATTTTCATTCTTATTGCTTTTGAATTCAGTATGCCAGGCTAAGTTTTTATGTAGTTAGAGGTAGATGGAACTCAATTGAATCCTTATGTTTATGAATTAAATTGGCTCTGAATTCTTCTCTTTTTATATTTGAACCCTAAAAGATGATGCCAGAGGTTGGCTACAGTCACTACCTCAAGGAAGCATCACCAACTGGGATGATATAGCAGCCAAATTCTTAGCCCGGTTCTTTTCATCTTCAAAACGGGCTAAGCTTAAGGCTGATATCTCTGCTTTTGAACAGAAAGAGAGAGAATCTCTTTACGAAACATGGGCAGAGTTCAAGGGACTACTCAAGAAGTGTCCTCATCATGGGTTCAAGGCTTAGGAGAAAGGCCAAATTTTCTTTCAAGGGATGACGCCTAATACAAAAACCTTAGTTAATGCTGCAGCTGGAGGATCTTTGAAGACCAAAACTTCAGAGCAAGCATTGGAGTTACTTGAATTATTAGCTTCTCAGGAATTTGATAATGCTCAAGTGCCACAAAGGAGAGCATGGATCAAGAAGCTTGACGAGTATGATGCTTTGTTGGCACAGAATGAGCAGATGATATAGATGTATAAAAAGCAACAACATCAGTTAGATGCCCTTACCAAGCAATTTTCTTCTCAGCAGATTGCGTCGGTAGATACTCCTCCGATCAGTTATGGAATTTGTGCAAGTGCTCATGCTATAGAGGATTATGATTTTATGAGAGCACCAGAAACTACGGATGTAAATGGAATCTGGTACGATCAAAAGAACTAGAATAATTCGGGGAGGAACCCGTATGGGAATAACTACAATCAAGGGTGAAGGAATCAGAATCAGCATCCAGGGTTGAGTTACAAATCCAACCATCAAGTTAATCCTCCTCTCCCAGTGCAACCACCTTCTCTGCAACCAAGAAACACTTCTGAGTGGGAGATAGCTTTTGCCCAACTCTTAAAGATCACCTCTGATTATATACAAGGTGCAAATTCCTTCAGAGAGGATACTTCTGCTTTTATGCCACAAACTCGGACTTCATTCCGGAATCAAGAAGTATGTATCCGGAATCTGGAGACTAAGATAGGCCAGTTGTCAAGGCAGATTTATGAGAGAGCTCGGGGTACTTTTCCAAACAACACAATTGTCAATCCAAGGGAGAATTGCAACGTTATAACAACTAGGAGTGGAAAAATCATTCAACCTATAGAGAAGCCTTCTGAAGAAAAGGAAAGAGAGGCGGAACCTAATGTTCAAGAAGAGACGAAAGAAAAAGCAAAAGATACTACTGAAGTTGACAAAGACAATCCTAAAAAAGTTGAAAGGAAACTGTTTAAGTGGGAGAAGAAGAAAACTTTAGAAAGGAAAAACAAGCCTTTGGATCTCTCCCCATGTGCTCAAATCCCTTATCCTCAGAGATTTAAGTAAGAGATTCAGAAGCAGCAACATTCAAAGTTTCTAGACATATTTAGGAAGTTATAGATCAACAGTCCTTTCGCTGAAGCCTTAGAGAACATGCCCAATTATGCGGAGTTCATGAAGGATTTACTCTCTAGAAAGCACAAGTTGAAGGAGTGCGAAACAGTTACTTTAACTGAGGAGTGTAGTGCAATAATTCACAAAAAGCTTCCTCCTAAGCTCAAAGATCCGGGCAGCTTTAGCATCCCTATAGCTATTGGGAACATTGAAGGGGGTAAGGCACTGTGTGATCTTGGAGCTAGTATAAATCTGATGTCTTTCTCTATGTGTAAAGCTATGGGAATTCATGAGTTAAAGCCGACTACTGTCTCTCTACAGTTGGTCGATAGATCGATCAGAAGGCCAGACGGAGTGATAGAAGATGTGTTGTTCAAGATTGACAAGTTTATCTTCCCTACAGATTTTATAATTCTGAATATGGAAGAAGATGCAGAAATTCCTCTACTTCTTGGGAGACCATTCCTAGCCACCACAAGAGCAATGATCGATGTGGAGCAAGGGAAACTGATGCTGAGGATGAATGAAGAGACAGTCACCATTGATGTCTTCGAGTCAATGAAGCATCCATCTGATGGAGGAGACTGTTTCATGGTTGATATAATTCAAGAAGCAGTTGATGACACGATGAAAGAAGAGAGTTCTCCACTTGAGTTAGAGTAAATCAATGAGAAAGTTGAACTTGTTGATAAAGAAAAAGAACTAGTGGTGGAAGAGCTAGAGAAAAAGAAAGATGACATCCCTCTTGGAGCATCAAAGGTGGAGCTTAAGGAGTTACTCCAAATCTGAAATATGCTTTCCTTGGTGACAACTGTAAGAACCCGCACCATTAATTAAGGAATTTAATTAATAAATTATGAGAAAATAGGAAATGATTCCATAATTGACCCTAATAATTATTATGAGGCTTTAATAATTATAGTAAGTGGGTAATATTGCTGAAAGTCGCTTTTCGGAAGAAAAGTGCAGATACTGCTTCTGCTAGTCAGTATAAATGAGTATCGAAAAAGTATCCCGGAAAATTAAATTAAGTGCATGTTAATTACTAGAATAATATGTAGGACTTGTAAAATGAGTTTCAAGTCCAGATAATGAGAACTGGTGCTAGAAACCGGTACTGGCTTGGAAAAGCGCGTACCGGAAAGGTGCTCAGAAAATTATAAGAAAAATATGATAAATCTTAGAAAATTATGTAGTTTCATAATCCAAAGTTTGGGATTAAAATGCTAAGCGTAGCAATTAAAGTTAATACTGTGTGTTAATCTTTAAGTGGGCTATATATACCCTTATTAAGGGCACAAAACCCTAGAAAACAGTTTCTCTACGTGGGTGAGGGGCTAGTCAGCTGCTGGTTCCACTGTTACATTGCTTCACCACCATTTTGTGAGCTTTGTGACCTCTCTTGCTCCTTTTCTCTTCACTTTGTACCTTGGGTGAGTGGGAGAGATCATTGTGAGTGTGAAAGAAGCTCTTTTCTTGAGTGTGGTGGCTGTGTGGAGGCTGTTTGGAGTCTGGACTGCCTTGTGGAAGTGTGTGAGCTTCTTCCTTGAGTTGTTGGAGCTCCAAGGAGCAACCTTTGTGAAAAAAGGACCCTCCTTGGTGTGTATTTCCGTGTTCTGTGAGAGACAGAACCTTAGAGCTGTTGTGTGAGCTCCAAGAGCACCCTTTTTCTGAGTTTGAGATTTGGTAAGCTTCATCACCCTTGATCTTGAGTCTTTAAGCTTAAAAATGGAACCTTGATGCATGAAAAGGTTAAAAGATGATAACTTAACGTTGGGTAATGTCAAACACACCTAGAAATGTATGTTTAGGTGTTTAAAATCGATAAAAACCCAACCTTGGATGGATATCTTCACGAAAATGCAGAACTGCATTCTGTCGTGAAATATCCGGATATCTGCCCGATGAATATCCGGATATGTGATATCCGGATATGGGGTTTTGGATATCCGGATATGGGATTTTGGATATCCGGATATTGGATATCCGGATATGCACAGTGAGATATCCGGATATGGTCCCGAGGAATATCCGGATATTCTGGGATTTCGAAGAACAGTAGCTGTGCTGTGAGGACAGTAGGCTATTGGGGGTTTGTGGACCCTAGATTGATGAAGTTGAACTTCTGTTTTAATTAAACTAAGTCAGAATCAAGTGATTAAGGGCTTATGGCTTGGTGAGAAGCCTTAAGACATAAAGCATAATGAAAAGGCGTTGTCTTTAATTTGTATGCATGTGGTACATGTTATTGATTTATATTTGGTCCATATCAGATTGTGATCTGCTGTGATTGGACTTTGAGCTTGTGGCATTGGATAGCTAGCTTAGAGGTAAGCTTCCGTGTTCTCGGTTTAGCCATGTTGTGGTTCCACCATGTCCCATGGGGGTATGGTTTATGCATGTTGTGTATATGCTTTTGGATATTTGATATGTTGATTGAACTTTACATGTAATGGCTTTTAATATGCATGTGTTGTTTCATCTTGACGGGAAGCCTGAGTATGTAGCGCCATACAAGACGGTGTACTGGGGTGAATGCAAGTGGTACTTGCACGGTGTGTAGGTGATAGACGTATACCTGCACTGTCTCTGGCCAGTAGATTAGAATTGACACACATGACATGATTATCTGCTGCATTGCATTGTTTTAGAAAAGATAAATGATAAACTGCTTTTGAACTTATATTGCACATGTAAGTGAGCTTGGGGTGGAAGATCCTTGAGGACTCACTGACTTACTGAGATTTCTAGATTAGAGATCTTACCCCACGTTTGGGGAATGCTTATTTCAGGATCAGGTAGTATGGGTACTGATGCCTCAGGCGGCAGGAGGTCGGAGCTTAGCTGATTATGTTTTACTGCTTTATGTTAGCATGACTGGATTGGGATGCTGTTTATGTTTTCCGCTATTTATGATATGTTGTTGCTGAGACTGATGTTGGGCATGTTTCCTTATTTGAGTGAGCATGGAGATTGTCCATGACACTTTCTGTTAGTACTTTTAATTGGAGTTGTATAAACTGTTAGATGGTCCGGTCTACTTTGTTGTAGTCCCGTGACTAGAGCCACACTTATATTATCTATGTTATGAGGTATTTCAGTTAGCTGTTTTATTGCAATTACATACAGGAGATGTTTTATTAATTGATTATTAAGCAAGTTGGTAATGTTAATGGCATCATAATTGAAAAGAAAAAGTAATTCCGCATTTTTAATTAAGCGCAACTTAATACGATATTATGATAACATTACCGGATATATACGGGGTGTTACAACAACAACACTTATCCAGTCATCATCAATGTGGAATTGACAACCATGGAAGAAGAAAAGCTTCTCAAGGTGTTGAAGAAGCACAAGGCTGCCATAGAATGGTCCTTCTCCGATTTAAAAGGTATAAATCCTTCCTTTTGTACTCATAAAATTCTAATGGAAGATGATATTAAACCTGTTAGGCAGCCGCAAAGGAGACTCAATCCAACCATGAAAAAGGTTGTGAGGAAAGAGGTAGTTAAACTGTTAGATGCAGGAATGATCTATACTATATTTGATAGTGCATGGGTAAGTCCAGTACAAACTGTACCCAAGAAAGGTGGAGTCACTGTGGTAAGAAACGAGAACAATGAGTTGATTCCAACAAGGACATTCACCGGGTGGAGGATGTGTGTTGCTTATAGAAGATTAAATGCAGCCACTAGAAAGGACCACTTTCCTATTCCTTTCTTGGACCAAATGTTATAGAGACTAGCTGGCCATGTTTTCTACTGCTTTCTAGATGGGTACTCGGGTTACAATCAAATAGCAGTAACTCCAGAAGATCAAGAGAAGACAACATTCACATGCCCTTACGGAGTCTTCGCTTACCGGAGGATGCCTATCGGTCCATGCAACGCTCTGGTAACTTTTCAAAGTTGTATGCTTTCTATCTTTTCTGATATGATTGAGAAATATATTGAGATCTTCATGGATGATTTTTCTGTTTTTAGCCCCTCTTTTGACACTTGTTTAGAAAATTTGTCATGTGTTTTACAAAGATGTCAAGAGAGTAACCTTGTTTTAAACTGGGGGAAATGCCACTTCATGGTAAAAGATGGCATAGTTCTAGGATATAAAGTGTCCAAAGATGGTATAGAAGTTGATAGAGCTAAAATATCTTTTATTGAGAAACTTCCCCCTCCCTCTAATATTAAAGGTATTCGAAGTTTTCTCGGTCATGCAGGTTTTTACAGGCGCTTTATCAAAGACTTTTCCAAGATAGCAAAGCCACTATGCAAGCTGTTGGTCAAGGATGAAGAATTCAACTTCACAGAAGAGTGTTTGGTTACATTTAACATTTTAAAAGATAGATTGACCACTGCACCTATAATCACTGCACCAGATTTTTCTTTACCTTTTGAATTAATGTGTGATGCTAGTGATATGCCATAGGAGCTGTCTTAGGACAAAGAAAAGATAAACTTTTGCATGTGATTTACTATGCTAGTAAAATTCTTAATGATGCACAATTAAATTATGCTACCATTGAAAAAGAATTACTAGCGGTTGTCTATGCATTTGATAAATTTAGACCGTACTTACTTGGGTCTAAAGTAATTGTTTACACTGATCATGGTGCTTTAAAGTATTTGTTGAATAAGCAAGATGCAAAACCACGACTGCTCAGATGGATGCTGCTCCTTCAAGAGTTTGAAGTTGAGATCAGAGATAAGAAAGGCATGGAAAACTTAGTGGCTGGTCATCTCTCGAGGATCCAAGAAAAAGATCTTCAAGATGGACCTGAAGTTAAGATCATAGAAGAATTTCCTGACGAGCAAATTTTGGCAATCAAGGATATCTCAGATCTGCAAACCGAGAAAGTGCTGAACGTTAGCACACCTCCATGGTTCTCAGATTTCGTGAACTTCAAAGCAACATGGAAAATTCCAGTAGACTTCATATGGCAACAAAGGAAGAAGTTTCTGCATGATGTCAAGAAATACCTATGGGATGAGCCCTTCTTTTTCTATAGATGTGCTGATGGAGTAATAAGAACGTGCATTCCAGAAGAAGAGATGAAGGACATCTTATGACAATGCCATGCTTCAAGCTACGACGGATATTTTGCGGGAGAAAGAACAACCGCAAAGGTATTGATGAGTGGCTTCTACTGGCCAACACTCTACAAGGATGCAAGGAAGTTTGTTGAAGCTTGTGATAGATGTCAGAGAATGGAGAATATCTCCAGAAGACATGAAATACCCTTCAACAACATATTGGAGGTTGAAATCTTCGATGTGTGGGGAATTAATTTCATGGGACCTTTTTCCCCATCTTATGGCAACAAATACATCCTTGTTTCGGTGGATTACATCTCTAAGTGCGTGGAGCAAATTATATTTAACGATTCTCGGGGTAGTCATTGCCTTCCTCAAGAGGAATATATTCGTCCGGTACAGAGTACCGCGAGCAATTATAAGTGACGGAGGAACGCACTTTGACAACAGACAAGTGGAGTATGTGCTGGCTAAATGCAGAGTGAAACACAAGATCGCCACGCCTTATCATCCGCAAACAAGTGGGCAAGTGGAAATTTCCAACCGAGAGCTGAAGAGTATCTTGGAAAAGACGGTTGGGAGTTCCAGAAGAGACTGGTCCAAAAATCTCGATGACGCACTATGGGCATACCAGACTGCATTCAAAACTCCGATTGGTATGTCTCCTTTCCAATTATTGTTCGGAAAGGCTTGTCATTTACTAGTGGAGCTAGAGCATAGAGCCTTATGGGCGATCAAGTACTTGAACTTTGACTCCAAGACTGCAGCTGAGAAGAGACTTCTTCAATTGGATGAGCTCGATGAATTCAGATTATCCGCATATGAAAACACAAGTTTATACAAGGAGAAAACGAAGAAGTGACATGACAAGAAGATCCTGCCTCGAGACTTCAAGGTAGGATAACAAGTGTTACTTTTCAATTCTCGTCTGCGTCTCTTTCTTGGAAAATTGAAGTCCAGATGGTCGGGACCGTTCACTGTGAAGAACATAAAATCATATGAAGCAGTGGAAATCAGTCATCTGGATTCCTATAGGACCTTCACAGTCAATGGCAAGCGATTGAAATTATATATTGGAGGAGAAACTGACAGGGGAACAACCACTGTTGCCCTTGTAGAGATAACATGAGTCAGGTACGTCAGGCTCGTGACGTTAAACAAGCGCTAATGGGTAGGCAAACCCATAATTTACTGTTTTATTTTAAATTTCATTTTATTTAACTTTGAATTCAATTAAAGAAAATAAAAATAGGAAAGATAGAGACTAAGGTGATCAAGTGATAGTTGAAAAAGAGGAACACCAACTGTTGGAGGGTCAGATCCGTCAGTAGAGAGTTGACTAACTGCTTGGAGACTCAGGTGGGATTCATCTGGCGCAGGAACCGGTATATGCAGAGGAGGAAACTTGATTATCAGGTGTACATGAGCTCGCAGATGGCATATCTCTGCATCAACCGGCCCGATGGACCACCAGCCTTCCAACCCGAGCCTTATGATGGATCCGAGGAGGAGGATGCCTATGACGCTGCACTGAGAGGGATCAACACATTTTCAACCACTGAGGGACATGATGATGATGATGATGCTGGAGAGGATACCGTCATGACACCCGCCATTGTGCGAGATGCAGAGGACGAGGAGCTTGAAGACTGATCACTTTAGTTATTTTCATGTTTTATTTAAGTTTTCTTTTATTTGAGATTATTATTGTTTTTTTATGATATGAGATAACCCTGTGATGCAGTATGGTATTTCAGCACTGATGACTGATAGTTTTGATTGATGTTGTTGCAGAGGAATCCACTAGTTCCTAACTCTCAACGCGATTATTTTTTTAGATTTAAATCAGTTGCTGGGGACAACAACATTTAAATCTGGGAATGAGAAACACGTAGTTCATCAGGTGGTATTGCTAAATGAACCGGAGAAACTGCATGAGTATACACGGAACATCCGGCTACTACAGGGAACTATCTCAACCTTTTTCTTTTCCTTAATGCAACATTTGTTTTAGAAACTGAAATTTTTTTTTTTTTAGAGTTTTAAGTAATAAAAACCCCAATCCATTGTTTTGTGAAAATCTAAAAGTTTTACTCAGTGCTTTTAAATGGAAGATTGGTAGGAAATTTGATCAGTGATTTGATCCAGAGCATGATGATGCACCTTCTTAATTTTTCATAATGAGCATCAATCTAATAATTTTCATGATTCATTGAATATTCTCTTTAGTGATGAATTTTTTTAAGATAAAGAATAGGGGAATTCCTGTGCATCCCACTATATGAAAGACTCTAGAACTTGCTTTGTTTCTTGCTTGAATTGGTATGTGATATATTCTATGGATATGATTGAGACATGTTCTTTCTTTAAAATAGATGGCCAAATAGCCAACCATTGCTGACATTCCATAGTTAAACCCTTTTGAGCCTAGGCCTGTTTATTCTTTGAAAACCTATGAAGATGAACAAGCCACTTTCCATATAAATCCTCACATTATTTGAGATTAACTTTCAGATTTGAATTGAGGAACGGGTGATAATTAATTGATTACATAAGTTGTGATGTATGGGAGTACAGGGAAGAAAGGCAAAAGCTAAGGAAGTAAGGTTGGTTAGAATGAAAAAGAAACAAAGAAAAGGAAAATTACTCAGAAAGAGGAAAAAGAAAAGAAGTGAAAAGAAATAAGAAAACTTGTTATAAGAAAAGAGAACGACAAACAAGAGAAAAGTTCAAAAGAAAAAGAAGAAGAATGGACCAAAAAGAAGGAGAAAGTTATTTACAAATTGTTAAACGATTGCACCTATTCCTCTTTGAATTTGGATTTTAATCGTGGAACTCATTCTCTAAATTTTTCCTTCCTTTAGCCAGGCCAAGTTACAACCTGAGTAAAGGCCTTTTGATCTGTTGGATATGTCACAATAACTGTGGAGAGCGAGAATATAAGAAAGCCTATGGTAGTGTTGATTCAGTGGGATACGAGTGAAACACCAACCCTCTAAACAGTTGAGTGTGAGTGAATTTAATTCCTAGTGAGGGAGTGTTTCAGGAAATTTTCCTTATTCTTGATCTTAAGAAATTTTGTTGCAACTTTTAACTGATGAATTATGAATCTTGTTGATTGATGTATCATTCCTTAGAGTCTGAATGCTCTGTAATCATGTCTCTGATTGAGTCATTCCTGTCAAAATTCCATGCAATTGAGGATTCCTACTCCCTATTCCCTTAGTTTTATTCTGATTGATTGCTGAGGACATCAATATTCAAATCTGGGAATATTTGATAAACCCTTGGCTTACCATGTTTTTATGCTAAATTCTACAAGAATTATATGGTAGATTGCATGGAATTCAAGGTGTTATATGATAAAATCATAAAGATTTGAAAATTGAGCTAGTGTTTTGATATCTTGCATATTTTGAAGGTAAATCTACAAGATTTGGTGCTAAGAAGTGATCAAAGAATCATAACAAAAGATTTGAAGCTCAATCTGAACCAAAAGAAACCAATCCAAGCCCAGTCTGCAGGATCTTAAATAAAAACAGAAACAAATCAAGATTTGATTGAGAATTGATAAATATTCATGGGGAGATTTGATGAAGAATTAAAAGATATGACTTCAAAAGCTATAAATAGGGAACTTGGGGTCAATGGAATTGACTCATTCACAGACACACCACGGGAAATACACAGAGACCCAAACGAGGAATCCTGTTGCGGAACGTTGGAGTACTGGGGAGCCAAGTCAACATCACACCAATAGAGGCTTGGGGAACTATTTTCTTTATTATTGCTTTTGAATTCCGTATGCTAGGCTAAGTTTTTCTGTAGTTAGGGGTAGATGGAACCCAATTGAACCCAATTGAATCCTTATGTTTATGAATTAAATTGTCTCTGAATTCTTCTCTTTTTATATTTGAATAGATTTATCTGTCTTTAATACTTTCTATGAGTTTGCTCCTTAAAGATTGATTTAGGGGAATTGTATAACAATAGGAATGTTGGTGCATGAACCCTGATTTGAAAAATTTATCACAATCCTTGTGATCTAGGGATAGTCATAGGGCAATTGTGCAATCATTAAATTCTTGATCTTAATGCATGTTTTCTTGGAGAATAATCGGGGAACTAGAATTCTTTCAAGATCACATAGATTTAGGGTAACAAGGAATTGAACCCTAATTAACTTAGAAAGAATTGATTGGCATTATATTAAGAGCAGATTCTTGACAGTTTAATTCATAGCATATAGAGGAGATTGGGGGAAGTCAAAACCCTAACTACGCTTGTTTTTAATCTTTAAATCAATTATCTTTCCAATTGCTTTTTAATTTTGAATTTTAATTTGCATGTTATTAATTGTTTTCTTTTTAATTTCAATTTTCTTCATCTAAATATTGATTGTCCAACTAAACTGCAATTACTGAACTAGTGTTCGAAACCCAATCCTCGTGGGAACGATCTCGTACTCCGGTACACTTTTATTACTTAACGACCGGTGCATTTGCTGAGTCGCAACATGCTTCCTCTCCACAGCTACAGCAGCAGTGACTGCCACCAACATAGCAGGAACTACATTGTTGTTGTTGCAGTAATGTCAGGCGCCCATAGCACTCTCCAAGAAGAGTTGACCCAGCTCGCCCTTCCATGTGAGGAGGGCAACCTCTCCCCCTATAAGTACCCCTCTATCACCAGGCAAGAAGGATTCATCTTATGTGCCATTACCCTGTCAGTTTCTTAAGCCCGTGCCTCAACTCAACACACACACACCCCTATTTACATAGTTAGACTTTATACTTGGGACGTCGTTGTATAGCTTGGTCTCTATGTCTGCTAACAACGATACCCATATAGAGACATATATCCCCCTCAAGGGAACATAACGGGGTCTCGACTCTCAACGGTACAACCTTAATTTTTAGAAGATCAAATTCAGGTTTTTTCTTTCTTTTCTTTCTTTTTAACATTGTCCTTCGAATAATTTATTCGCGATGCGTCATCATAACAAATGGCTATTTTGTCAAAAACATTGGTCACTTATTTTTTATTAAAAAAAAATCCTTTTTTTTATCAATTATTTTAATGTAAAAGATGTTATATGAATGAGAATTATAAAATAATAATAATAATAACATCATTAGACAAAAACAAAGTTTCTAGAAACAACGAAAAAATTTGCTTCATGAATTTTTTATTCTAATAACATAATTAAAAATTAACGTGACATAACTTGAGATAGCAGGCCCACTAAGTATTAGAGAAATTATCAATACATGAAGCCTCTAATACATAATAAGGGATAATCACATAATTTAATGAACCAAAAATTGATACAAAAAAGTCATAATTTCAGCCAAAAAAAAAAATGACGTAATGAGGCCGATGCCTCGTGTGTTTTGAAGGCACTTTTAAAATTTTCGACATTCTATATTTAGCAAACAAATATTTATTTTTGAACATTTTCTAATAATGCCCTAAATAATGATATTTTTATTTATCAGCATGCTTAGCTAAAGTTCCCGAAAACACAACACATATTTTAAAGTTATTCTTATTGGCCCTTAATCTCTATTGTTTCAATATATTTGCTTCTGATAAGTGACTAACATTAAATTCACTTAACAAATCTAGTTCATAGTCCATTTTTAATTAATAGTATACCTTATCCCATTCCCAACAAACCAACGATGTATTTCAAGTTAATACTTAATCAATATGCAGCAATTGATTGTGATTATTCATAGCAAGGAAGCCTATTAAATTGAAAGGGATATTGAAAGTTGGGAGAGGCTGTATCCCACTGCTACAGAAAGTGACTATTCATCCCATAAGGCTTTTACAACAACATTCCCACATGGGTTTGTT